TCATGACAGTACATAGCCTACACCATCGGCTATGGCATAGACTCGACGCAGAAGTATAAATTGAAACTTATGTTGGGGTTTTCAACATATGGTCAGGTTTGTTTATTAGCTGAATATCAAAGATATTCTAGAAATATTAAAAGATTATTAATATTTAAAACTTAATTATAATTAATAAATACGGGGCACCACCCTGGAATCAGGGACCAATAACCAAATATGAGCCAAGTATGATCATTCTAAAAGAGGGTTTGTCCACCTACAAATGGCAAATAGGGAAGAGTGAATCCATACACTGGCCATGGCATCCAACTCTTACTACAACATTATACACAAATAATCACAGGCAACGACTTCTTAAAATTATAATAGTATTTATTCAATTCAAGCATAGATCAATGATTAACAACTTTAGCAAGGAAATCACTATTTACTAAGCAAAATGCAATAAAGTCAATTAGACAAAAACATACAAAAAAACATACAACAAACCAGCATGCGTGGAGGGGGGGGACTAAGAGAGGTGGGTGGATCTAACCACGTGGGTGGTCGCAGATCCGGTTCAGAATTGGGCCTGATTTCAAGATCAAGATGGTGGAAAATTACTCTTGCCTGAACTAAAAAAAATTGGAGACACACTCTGATGCAAGTCTGCTGTGGTCTGATTAGCTTCAGAGATCACGTGGTGTGTGCATGTGGGGTTAGTAAGCAGAAGGAGGAGAGAAAGGCACAGAGAAAACTATATACAATATACCACAGTCTATCCTACAGCCACCAGCAGTGAATAATTCATTCACCAGCAGTTGCTGGCTTTGGATTAGATAGAATGCGCAATTGTATCTGTTCTCAAACAACAGAAGCCCACACCAAAAAACCTAATTACTGTTGCAAACACTCTTTATCAACTAATTAACTTTATCAATGAGAGGAAGGATAGTGAACTTGCATTCAGCAACCATGTTCCCCGCTGAAAAAGGGCCGTAGACACTTTCACACTTCCGAGTGGAATGTGCACGCACCGCTAAGGGTGGGTCTGTTCCCGCCTGTGTACAGGCTTGGGAGATGCACTTGGACAGGGTTTTACTGACTGCACTATCACTGAAACAGACGAACAGCTGACCAGTGCATTGAATAGGGGCTGTGTGCTCTACATAGGACGTTAGCATAGCACACATGGACACAACAGATGCCCTCTCACCTCCCTGCGCCCTAAGTGGAGTAGGGGGGTAGAAAGCCTCCAGATTTGTTGTCCTGTACGTGAACATGCTCCTTATGTTCTTAAGAACAAAGGAGGTGTGTTCTCTCAATCCGGCTGCACTGTGGACACCAAGTACCAGCATGCAGCTGGGGTGAACCGACAGGCACACAGCTCACTCACCTTCTTAGCAGAGGTGAGAGCAAGGCGCAGGGCTGTTCAATAGCATTTTCAATGTGGACTGCTCCAGGGGCTCATAAGGTGCAGATATTAGAGCCACCAACACAAGCAGCAAGTCCTACTGAGGCGCCAAGAGACACGACACTGGTCGCTGTCTTCTCACACCCTGCAGAAAGCGTATCACGAGGGAATGGGTGAAGACTGTCACTAAACCCCCCTGGGACAGAAGAGATAGCTGCAGCGCGACAGCCCCTTCTCCATCAGACCTTTCAGGAAAGAGAAAACGGATCCCACCAAACATGTAGGCAGATCCGTCTCACTCTCAATGCATCAACGCTGAATGCCCAACCACTTAGCTTTACAGCAAGACGTGGTGGAGACTGCCCGCTGCTTGGATGGTCTGTGCAACCTCAGCGGAGAGATCAGCCTGAGTCTGCCTCTCCACAATTTTAGGAGCAAAACCTGAAGAGGCTGGCCCAACACCAGCATTGTGCATATGAAGCCTCACCCTTGTGACAGAGCCCTCCAGACCATAGGTACGGGCCAGGGCTCTGTCACTGTAGGCTGCATCACTTCTACCAGAATGACGAACATCAACCTAACTGGAGGGATGAGATGGGGTGGGGCGGGGCGGAACGCAAACAGCAGCCCTTCTGGCAATGGCGCATGTGTAACGCGCCCATCCCAAAGGGTGGGCTGTGGCAGTGGGTGTTGGCAAACACCTTACTTAGATTGGCGTTAGCTCAACTCGTGCAGTCGAGCTTTCTTCTTTAGTCAAAAACTGCGTAGTCACAGACTTCACTGGAGACGGTCAAGAGTCGGTGCAAAAGAGTTTATTCCAATAAAGGACAGATAAACCCGAGTAACATTCCTGCAGGTCTCAGGATGGAACTGAGCTGGTGGTCAGCGAACATCACCTTATATTCACCTTAAGCTCCACCTTATCTCCTCCTTCCAGGTGTGCGTTACACCTTAACTCCACCTTATCTCCTCCTTCCAGGTGGGCGTTACACCTTAACTCCACCTACAGTGTTCGCTGACCACTCCTCTCCTTTGGTGAATTTCTTATCCTCTGTTGCCATCTAGTGGCCGTTTTCATGTTTTAACAAAATTAACCCTTTCACTAATGTCACAATTTCCACTTTTCCAATAGGTTTCAACTTCAGTCTCACCGTATTTTTTAAAAGCTATACAGGCGTAATTTGACACCATTAAAACTCAAACACTTACAATTGTATTTTTTAAAAGAATTAATAAGGAATAACATATTTGATACATGCATAATATGATTCAACAATGCCAACCATGAGGGTGCTGTGTCTCACACAAGTGTAGTTTTGGCAGTGCAAAGCTTGGTTTCATGCAGTACCTGGCCGTACCTTGCAGTACCAGGCGCCATTAATCACAGTGTGTCATGATCTCATTCTTGGCCTCAGTGTGCCAGGATCTCAGGCCTGGCGTACGTGACTCACAGCAGGTACCTACTACCAGTGTATATGTTACGGTTGACTAGGTTTTGCCTGCGCTGTCTGAGCAGCTGCTCTGCTCATGCTGGCACTTTGAAAAGGCACATGTTCATAAACACACAGAGTATAGGAATAAAATATGAGTTGGTACACACTTATTAAACATTTAGTAGTCAAACTTTACATTGAAAGAATAACAACATTCACAGAATTCAGTTTCACATTCAGTCATTCAGAACAATGGAAAGCCCAGATAGCCCCTAGTTAATTAATTCACACCTACCTGTGAAATCGAACTTTTAAAAACAAACCAAAGGTTTGTACTGGCTAAAGCTTTTAGGGGGGCGGAGTAATCCCAGGAAGTACAGCCATTTTGTGAACGTGGGTATAAAACTGAACATCTCTCAACCCTCTGTGCCGTTCCCAGTTCTTCATGGGACTGTAAGGAGGTAAAGCAAACCCAGTCTTTCCACACTGCGCAAGCGGTTATAGGAGACACAACTTTCTCAGTGCTGAACTTTCTTTGTTCCTGAGCAGTGTTTCTTGCCTTGTGTGGAGGTGAGTGGTGATGAACAAAAGACTAAACTATACCAGTGCCTCGAGTTTACCGCTAATTAAACAGAAGACAATATAGGCCTATGTCTTGCTAAGGCATGACTCATGAGCTGAGCTAATGTAATAAGTTAGCTGAAGTTTAGCTAAGGCAATATCTCATGGCCTTACAACCTAATGTACTGATGGAGACACTACAGGTGAACACATGTCTAATAGCGTCATCACAATCGCCACATTGATATGCAAATTAGGTGTTAACTAATTAAAATGCACTAATTTGCAAACATTTGACAAGTTACTGCATGTGAATGGGATAAAGAAAATAACTAAAGCATATCACCACAGAACTTCCCCAGTTAATGACTTACATCAAGAGTATTTTCCTCTGAAATGCGCCGTGTAAATATGCAGATTAGGTTGTTTTGGTTAATATAGAAGAAATCTATAGATGCTAATAGACCAAGGGTATTGAGCTTAAAACCAGCACCATCTAAATGTTTATTCTTGAAGTTTTATTTCCATTAGAGTAAAAGAAGACATGGAAGCAAAATAGACCAAAGTCTCAAAAGTGCCTTAAAGAGTAACTTAGTTTTGATGGTAGGCTCATCTAATAACTATCCATTCTATTAGTTTGTTGTATGCTGATAGATCTTTACATATACAGACAGCCCTCCCTCAAATGTGAAGCTAAGTCCATGTCACCATCAGTAATTCAGTCATGAAACTGTCATTTATTCTAAATATATACTTTAGTAGCATAGAAAACATGCACATTGTGGCAGTGTCGCCTGCTCCTGTGATAAACCTAGTGAATACTAAAGAAGACCGTGGTCTCTGTGTGAACTGATTATCTTGTACAAAAGTAAAAATGTTGAGTTATATATTTGTCTTGTTTTAAAAAATGCCCTTTTTTTCCACTTGAGCCCCTGCCCACATCCCTGTATAATACACTGCTCAAAAAGGGAACACTAAAATAACACAATAGAGTGAAAGTGCCACCAGCATTCAAAAGTGACCAAAACATCAGCCAGGAAGCATAGGAACTGAGAAGTGGTCCGTGGTCACGACGTGCAGAACCACTCCTTTATTGGGGGTGTCTTGCTAATTGCCTATAATTTTCAGCTGCTGTCTATTCCATTTGCACAACAGCATGGGAAATTGATTGTCAGTCAGTGTTGCTTCTTAAGTGGACAGTTTGATTTCACAGGAGTGTGATTGACTTGGAGTTACATTGTGTTGTTTAAGTGTTCCCTTTTATTTTTTTGAGCAGTAAATAGTGTACATAACTTATTTTTCTATTATATTTCCTTCTACTTTTATTTTATGTGCATTTTCTTATCTGTTGTGTGTATGTAAGTGTAGGATCAATAAAGTCTACCTTATCGCTTATATTACCTATAGGCAATTACCTAAGTCAATGAATTTTAAGTAAATTGTTTTAGCCATCATGTTTTACCAAGGAAATGTAAGAGGGCATTACACATTTCAGTACAAGTAATTACAAATTATTAATGCTAATAAACTTATAACAAATAAAACCATGGTTCATCTGAGACAACAAATCTTGAAGATAGATACACACACACACACACACACACACAATATGGTGCATGTCTTCTCATAAATATTTAATTCAGGGTACTACTGCACATGTCTTATGACAGTTGTATGCGACAAATCTCAATTTTAGAGGCATTTTTCCATTTTCTTCTTATCACAGGTCAAATGAATAATGAGGGTACTTCAGTGGAGGCTGTAGCTTGGTTTGACTGCCTTCAAAGCTTGTCAAGGCTTTAAATTATCCATTCCAGCTAAGTGAGAGGCTGAGCTTCCTCCCAGTCAAAATTCTGTACCTGCAATATAAATTGCAGAGCTATTGTGAGGTCAACACTTACTGTACACATCAAAGGAAACATTTAATCTTCTCTATTGTTGCATTTCACCTTGCACAACGTACTTGATGCATCTTGAGGTCTTCGCTTCACCGACATGCATTTTTCTTTAAATGTTCAGATGGAACTCTGAAATTAATGTTATGCTATACATGGTTAAGGCAGCTGTTGTTACGGTAAGGCAGGTTGGAGGACCCAAATGCAGGACACACGGCTGGCAGGTATAGTTCAAAGATTTATTTATAAAACAACAAAAAGCGAGCACACTTACTGGTGGAGTGGCTGATAAAACAAAGTCCACAAACAAGGTATCCAAAATGCAATCCAGAAAACAGGCAAAAGTCCAAAATCCAAACACGACAAGACAGAGCAGACAATACCGCAACATAACAGGAGATAATGACCTGACAAATACAAGACAGAAACACCAGGTATATATACAGGGACTAACGAGCAGGGCGGGAGCACACAGGTGATACTAATGGGATTACAGACAGACACAGGCAGGCAGAGAGAGAGAGAGAGAGTGGGGGGAAAAACAGAGAGAACACTTGACAGGCAGACATGGGGCAAAAGAATAACCAACAAAGACAGAAACACACATGTTACAAAGTACCAGAACCTAAAGGAGAACACAGAGCTAGAACACAGAGTACAAAGGAGACTAAACCAAAATAATGTAGACAAGGAACCTGAAGTAAATACTAAAACATGAACCAAGGCACAGGAATGGGAACAAAGACAAAGAACTAAAACACAGGAGCAAGAGTATAAGCTAAGACACGGATGAGAATGCAGGACATAACTAGAATATGAGACAAGACAGATACTAATAAAACTTAAATCAAATGAACCAAAATAATAAACTAGACTACAAAAACTCCAACCATGACAATATCAAATAACCACAGGAAAAACAACAGCACAAAACCAAATCCTAACAGCTGTATACTTTGGACTAAAAACAACTTTTTTGTGAGTAAATAAGTAGTATTTCTTTTCAAATAACAAATGCTATTCTAAATATTCACAGACCAGTCATCACTGTTTTCAAAGTGTTTTATGACCTTGAACAATTTATCGATTTTATTTAATGCCAAAACGTCAATAAAGAAAATCTTTTCCCTCTTGCTTTTCTTTCTGTTGGGAATTCTTGCTATTTTCCTGCCTTTTCTTCTCTGTCACTTCTGCTTTTCACGTTGTCAGAATCTCTGCCATTCACTTCTGACTTAGCCATATCTTGACAATGATTGACAAGGAGACAACGTGAGAGTAGTGAGATGACAATTTCTGCCCGGTTTCCTTGAGCCAATCAGTCCTCAGACGCTGCATCATTCAGACCTGCGATTTAGCAACCCACCACCTCTCCATCACCACCTTGTCCCTCATGATGATCCAGGTGATTCCACTGAAAGGTTTATCTGCTGCTTAGTCCACCACCATCAGTGTCTGGACTCCAGGAGATTCCACCTGTCTCTTCTCATCTTCATGGGCCTATGCTTAATGAGTTGCATCCCTTTCAATTAGTTACAGTTCAGTCCGGAAAGATTTGGACAGTCACTCAGTTCTCATAATTTTGGCTCTGTACGCCGCCATAACGGATTTGAAATTAAACACCAGAGGTGCAATTGAAGTGCAGACTTTCAGCTTTAATTCGTGGGGTTGAACAAAAATATAATCTGAAACGTTTAGGAATTGTACCATTTTCATACACAGTTCCCTTATTTTAGGGGCTCAAATGTAATTGGACAAATTAACATAATCATGAATAAAATGTTCATTTTTAATACTTTGTTGAGAATATTTTGCAGGCAATAACTGCAATAACTGAAACCCAAGGAAATTACCAAACACTGGGTTTCTTCCTTTGTGATGCTTTGCCTGGCCTTTACTGCAGCCATCTTTAGTTGTTGGATGTTCGAGGGGTCTTTCTGCCTTAAGTTTTGTATTCAGCAATTGAAATGCATGCAATCAGGTTAAGATCAGGTGACTGACTCAGCCATTACAGAATATTCCACTTTTTGCCTCCTGGTTTGCTTTTGCAGTATGTTTTGGGTCATTGCCCATCTGTAATGTTAAGCGTTGTCCAATCAACTTCACTGAATTTGTCTGAATCTGAGCAAATAATATATTGCTATACACTTCAGAATTCATCCGACTGCTTCTGTCTTCTGTCACATCATCAATAAACACTAGTGACCCAGTGCCATTGGAAGCCATGCACATCATGCCATCACACTGCCTCCACCATATTTTACAGATGTGGTATGCTTTGGATCATGAGCTGTTTGGAACCTTCTCCATACTTTTTTCTTCCCATCATTCTGTTACAGGCAGATCTTAGTTTCATCTGACCAAAGAAAGCTTTTCCAGAACTGAGCTGACTTTTTAAGATGTTTTTTGGCAAAGTCTAATGTGGCCTTTCTATACCTGAGGCTTTTGAATGGTTGGCACCTTGTTGTGAAGCCTCTGTATATGCTCTCGTGGAATCTTCTCTTTATGGTAGACTTAGATATTGATATGCCTACCACTTGGAGAGTGTTCTTCACATGGCTGGATGTTGTGAAGGGGTTTTTCTTTACCATTGAAAGGATCCTACGATCATCCACCACTGTTTTCTTCCGTGGACGTCCAGGACTTTTGGTGTTGCTGATCTCACTGCACTTTAAGCCCATATTCATTATTTAACTGTAACTTTAATATGTTTTGGTAAACAGCTAAAATAACAAAACTTGTGTCAGTGTCCAAATATATATTGACCTGATTGTTTACACTTTCAGTTGATCTATCCTTATTGAAATAGCACGTACTAGTGAAGAAAATTAATGCTTAGCATGGAAATGGAACAAAACAAATTAGGGGCTCTCCTCTAAATGTCTGATCTCTAATTTGATTCAAAATTTGCATATTGCAGAATTACTTAAAATTAAACTGTATTTAATGTATTGTTTTGAGTGGCAAATTTGGCACAAACAGTTTGGCAAAAACACGTATTTGCTTTCTGGCAGAGAGTTAGACAGCAAGATTAATACCACTCTTATTTGCGTAAGTTAAATATAAATCTACAGCCAGCAGCCAGTTAGATTAGCTTAGAACAACGGCTGGAAACAGGGAAACATTTGTGTGGCTCAAGCCTACCAGCATCTCTAAAGCTCACTAAGTAACACACTGTATATTCTTTTTCTAATCCATACAAAAACCAAAATGTAAAAATTTGCTTATGTGCTGGACTATTACATGGTAGGTACAGTCACTACCTGGAGTCTCAGCTGGTTGCCTGGCAACTGCTTAGAGCCAAGAAATAGTCTGGCAAATAACCCTAGGTAAAAACTACAAAATTTTGAACGTTAGCTTTAATAGCCTACACCTTCTAAGCAATAATTTATGATGAGATGTTCCAATATGAGAAAATAAAGGATGAAGTGGAGATGAAGAACACCACAATGTAAAGAAGTATGTCAGAACAGAGTGCATTATCACACATATACCAAGGCCACTTACCGAATGAGACAATGGAAAAAAGACTATTAACCACTTTCTAAAAATGTTTTTTATTGTGTTTAACCTAGTTAGGTTAGGTTCATCGATTACTTAACTGGTAAGATACTGTATGCAAACATGTAACATCTGTACTGAACAAAATCATTGCCAGAAAGAGACTCAAACTAATGGATTACCAGTATTGTACAACTAGTAAAGGCCTTTCAATGGTAGAAGAAATATGTTTGTTTTAATATTATCAATACATAATGTAGATACAGTATACACAGAATATCAGACATGTTCTCTCAAATGGATCTAACCTGTTTAAAATGAATCCCCACGCCATAAATGACTTAAATAGTGCTTGAACCCCTTGGACCAGTTGCCAAGATAGATTAGGCATAGTTAAAAATTTTGAAGAAAAATTGGGTACCACTGACATAAACAGCCCATGATCACCTCATAGCTTGCTTTTCCCAAAAGGGGAGGTGAAGATTGTAAAATAAGGCCTCATCGATGCACAGGCACAGCTCTGAACTGAGTCCATCAGTAGATAGTGAATGCACACACACAGCCTTCACTTGGATCCATCTGGAAGAGAGCAAACAAAAGCTTAACTCTGCGGTGAAATTATGTTGTCACATAGGAACCCATTAACTTCAGATTGCAGAAAATGCCTGTTGATCTTCTCAAATGAAAATAAGGTAGACAGTATCTCCATTAATGTGCAAATTGGATATTTTTAGGCACAGTCATCACTCTGTCCTATTTGTAAGATGTCATTGTCAACAGCATCTAAGTAGACAACTAAATCTAGGAAGAGCACTCAGTGGATGGGAGTAATTGTAAAATAATTACATAGGCAATTGAAGGCAGACTGAAGCTACGGTGCCACAATAATGTCTGGCGCATGCGGTTACAAAATAGTAGAGAAATATTTTAATCAGCAAATGAGTCAATTTGTTATGTCCTAGTTTCAACATTGTAGTGTCAAGTGACAAGTTCTGTCAGTAGATTGTGAATGCACACGCACAGCCTTCACTTGGATCCAGGAGGAAGAGTGCAAACAAAATCTTAAATCTGATCAGCTAAAATAAAGGCAATCATCATCATAATCCCTGCATTTACAATAGAGGAAATGTAGAGTTACACTGTAACTCAGTGACATCAGTAAAACGACAAAAGCTATTTTTTGTTACCTCCACCATGGAGGTTGTGTTTTCATTAAACTTGGTGAATGGTGTAGTGCAAGGGTCAAGAAAGAACCCATTACATTTTGGAATGGATCTGAATCACGGAGCACATACAAATGATTTTTTTCACTTTTGTTAACATAATAGCCACCTCAAACATTGTTATAGAAACAAATGCAGCAGGTATGTCACAAATAAGTAATCAGGGATGTGGTTTGTTTGCAAAGTACATAAAAAATGCAGAGCTGAGATGATGAGGCTTCAGCCAGGCACAACCATATTTTGACATACTGTAATTCTAATAGTTTTGGAAATATATCCATACATATATAGTGGTTGTGTAGTGGTATATCAAGATTATACTCACAAAACTATTGGCTTTGACAGAAGTGCGCTTTCCAAGTCCCCTCTAGTTTGATTACAATGTCTATGAAGCAGGAGATGGGAGGCTATAGCTCTCCTTCTGCTAATATATGTACATTTTTCAAGAAATTAAGATACAAAATAAAAATGGACTGCAAAATAAAAATAGCATTATTAAAATGAGAACAGACCCAATTACTCTGGTAGGTGATCATTTTTCTTCTGTACCACTGCCAAATAAACTCAAACAATGTGGATTTCTCTATGATTGTTCAGAGTTGGTACAAAGAACAGTTCTATAAAGATGCCCTGGATCACAGATTATTGTTTCCTGACACTACAATTTCACAATTGTGATTTATCC